CATATTGGTATCGATGATAGTAAGGAAAGTGTGTGCTCCTGTGAGCTCTAGTCAGGAAAGGGTATAACAGGAACCACATGACCTTGAAAGAAGATAATATCAGTCCTGAGCTTCCGGTGTCTGTGTGCAGCGAGAGAGACACACACGCACACACTCGTGCGTGCGAGCACACACGCACAGTGTAACGTACTCGGCAAACTAGCGTTCACTTACATCATTGACTACCAGGGTCAAAGGTCACCCCAGTCGGTTCTAGAAGAATCTAATCGGTAAGAAACCCCATCGTGGATGATACCCTGGACCAGGGTGGTCGTGCTTCAAGTATTGCAGGACTTTATCTCAACACTTATATCACATACTTCACCCTGCTGGTCAGCACAAGTCAGTTAATTAAGCCTTGAGCCAGAGCTGGATTAGGGGTCTGGAGCTCAAGGGCCAGTCAGAACTCTCATACCTATCTCTTTCAACTGGTGTATTTTTAAAAAGCACAGAGAAACCCCTGTCAGGGAGTCACTGGACTACAGTTCCCACAGTGCCTTGGGAATGAGTCTGCTGCAGCTCTGAGCGACAGTGGGGCAGTGAGAGGGGTTGATTCGTGTGAGAACAGTGGAACTGAGAAAGGCTGATGACAAATGGCCTGTAGCAACTGCAGGTCAGGCGTTGTGCCGTATGGTGCCAGTTTTAGGCTGCTATTCTGATGAGGGGCCCTGCGTCCTGCTGCTGTCATGAAAGGCGCTATATTGTGCGCACATGGGTCCCTTTGCTGCTTGGGCTTCCATGGCTGCCGTTGTTGGCCAGGGCAGGGTGATAGAACAACAGGGCCCCGAGGGTGCGCTTGGCGTGCCTCGCTACATCCTGTCTGGCACTCGGAGATGAGGTGCGGTGACCTTACTCAAAGCCACTTCCTCTCCGAGCCCGAGAGGAGGCGGAGACGCCACCTGCCTCCTTCTCCTCTCTCTCCCTCATCTACTGTCTGTCCGCCTTCCTCTGCTGCCTTTTTCCCATCGCTCCCTGCCTGCCACCCCCCGGGGGGTAGAGGGCACTGCGAGACGCGGGCTCTCGCCCTCTCACTCCTCTCCCTCCTCTCACTCTTGCACATTCAGGCCGGGAGAGAGACGTTTGTCTCACCCTCCCCTGGTCTATTTGCAGTCAATGACTGTTTGTTTCCTGCAGCTGAGAAAGCTGAGAAAGACAATGATTTCGGAAACCCCAGACAAGGTAAATCACTGGTCAGGACTCTCAAGAAAGCCTGCTGCAGCCCAGCAGGGTGAAATCACAGCCGCGTGCTCTCAGTCCTGGTGAGCTTGTGATACCACCCTGAAGGGTGAGGAAGCCAGGACAAACCCACTGTGTAAGAGCAGAAAGCCTGAAACTGTCACTGCATGTAAAGTCCCTTCAGCTATTCTTCTGCAGCTGCGGTGTCTGCTGCTCTCTAGCAATAGGTCAAAGATCAAGGACTTTTTAGAGGGGAGGGGAGCCTTTTCAACCCCCACTGAAGTGCAGCCCCACCTAGACGACACTCAGCAGTCCCAGTGCTGGGCAGACCACTGTCTGAATTAAGGGGGAGCTGCAGGGAGACCAGAGTGCTCAAGCCAGGTGGATTCTAGGACAGATTAATGTCTCATCCGAAGGACAGCACCTCCTACAGAACAGGAATTCTGGTTCAGAGGGACGAGTGCCCACTCCTTGTTCTTGAGCTGCTCAGCTCCAGAGATCGGGTGGTCACAGAGGTGCTGAGGGCTCTAATCTGGAGAACAAAGCCGTTTTCAGGAGCGGCTCTGTGCAGCACAGGGCTGTGAACCTGAGAGACGAGGCCCACTGGAGCAGCTCTGAGCTCAGTGTGGAGACGGTGGAGAAATCTCTCACTCGAAATAAGTAGGTCACTTCCGAGACTGAGCGTCTGTGAGCAAAGGGAGTGGGCTGACAACACCCCCAGAGCCTGGCCTTGCAAAATAAAAGTCATTTTTATACACAAAAAAAACGAGTCGATAATGAGTCGGACTTGGCAGGTTGGCTGCACTGCTGCTGATCTGACACACAGCCTCTCCACTGACTGAGGGCAGAGCTGGAGAGGAAAGAGGGGGAGAGGAGAGAGGGGGGGGTCGGGGAGAGGAGGGAGAGAGAGGGAGAAGAGAGAGGGGGGGAGA